GATGAACCTTCCCTTTGTAGAGAGAAACTCCATGGAAGCCAGATAGATCCATCTTGCCAGGGCATAGCTATTGGAGATATGGATACCGAGGGTGATATTAGGCAAAATCCTGGAATTCTCATTTATTTCTTTGATTGCAAATTCCAAAGCCAAGATATGCTGGTAGTTTTGCATATACAAGCTGAAATGAGTATTAGAGCATCTGTTCACAAAGTTGGAATTGGCTGCATCCCAATTTATGTTTTTTTTATTTTATATCACTCAATATTATACAGCCCATGAGCACTGAAACAAGGGGGTACATTAACATTCAAGGAAGGTATCTCTTTGAGTGCTTAATGCAATAGTGTCAAAGTTATAGCAATAGCACTTAGACTTATATACTGCTTCATAGTGCTTTACAGCCCTCTCTAAGCGGTTTACAGAGTCAGCATCTTGCCCCAACAATCTGGGTCCTCATTTTATCCACCTCGGAAGGATGGAAGGCTGACAACCTTGAGCTGGTGAGATTTGAACTGCTGAACTGCAGCTAGAAGTCAGCTGAAGTAGCCTGCAGTACTATACTCTAACCACTATGCCACCTTGGCTCTTATCAGACAAAATTATATCACAACTGATAAAACATTCTCCCTGGGATACCACGCTGTAACACTTCTTTTTATCCATTGGAGATGGCCATAAATAGTGGTGATACATTCAGTGGACTGAATTCAAAGAGAAATAATCATAAATAATTACTTTAAATCATTAAATAATTACTATAGGATTTAATGTAGGGATCCTGATTTATTTCTAGCTCCTATTCTAATATTCTATTCCACCATTTCCAGCTTCTCTTCCTTGTTCTTCTTCCTTATAACTATGTTTCTCATGTATTTAAAAAAGGAAATTCAATTCTCACGGTATAGTACTTTCAAAGACTGTAAATTTATGAGAGTATTTGATACAATACCTGCATGTAGGGACTAACTGCAGTCACATACACTTTCTACAAATGATCACTGTGATTTCTTCATAGTTTCCCTGGTTATTACCACATGAAAAAGAAAGCAAACTAAAATGAAACTAATATTTACCCAAAAGTTATCAAGGAGGCTGTTGGAACCTATTGAAATAGAAGTATATATTCAACTTTACTTTGCATATGAGGAATCACATAATAATTAACGTAATATTATTCAAAAAGAAAAATAATAGTGCAGCATAGGCAATCTAGAATTCATCTCTCACTCTAATTCAAACATGACACAGATTTTAATTATTTCTGTATTCCATTGCTTAAAACTAATTACATACAGGAAATCATCAAGTAGTTCATTTGATGGATTTCTTGTGAATGTTAATTTGTCGGACATCATGTAAATGAGAAAACAAATGCCAGCAATGACCAAATCTTCTGAATGATATTGCTTGTGCTTAATAAGAGGTTGTTCTCCTACAGAACATCTACCAAGAGCTGGTTCAGTTTCTATATAGGAGGACAATATTGTTACAGATGCAAAGAATAATATCATCTTGCAGATCAATTTATCTCTCGGCCACCTGTTCACTCCATGAGAATTAAGCATTTGAAACAGAACAGCCTAACATACATTATTCCATGAGGCTGCTTTAAAATCAGAGGTGTAAATGGTTTAAAAATCAGAACGAATGGACTTTGTCCTCCAGCTGTACCTTTGGAGAAAGAAGAATATTATATTTTTTGGCTGTTTAAATGTTAGTTTTAATATTTTCTGTAACTCCTTAGAGAGTGAAAAGAAGAACACATAATTGATAATTGTAGAGATCTAGACATGTCCAGATGTATAACCCAATTTGTGATACACAGGGAATTGTAACCTGGAATTAAGACAAAATAACAGTGGCCAGGGGATAGAAAGAACTAAATGAGAAATGTAAAAAAGTTTTCATCTCAAGTATTTGTAATTGGTTTTCCAACTGAGAAATCAGCTGAATTTAAATGGAAATTTCAGCTAGGATGAACAGAGTAAACAATAGAGTAAATCAAATTAAGTTGTATTAAGAGCCATAGTGGTGTAGTGGTTAGAATGCAGTATTGCAGGCTAACTCTGCCAATTCAAGGAGTTTGATCCTGACCAGTTCAAGATTGATTCAGTCTTCCATCCTTCTGAGTTTGATAAAACGAGGACCTAGATTGTTTGGGGCAATATGCTGACATTATAAACTGCTCAAAGAGTTCTGTAAGAGTTCTGTAAGTCCTATGGAGTGGTATATAAGTCTAAGTGTTAGTGCTATTACCATTAAATAAAATTTGGATCTCCCCATTATGAAGCATATTTCACTTCAGATATTCTAAACTAATATAATTAATCAAAGTACTGGTATTCTCTGAATTTTTATTTATATGCTCCAATGTGCTTATTTGGGTCACAATTATTATAATATTATTAGCATTTCATAGAACAGTTGTATTGCATGCACAATTCTTCAATGCAGGTTTTCCCTTTTTGGGAAATCTGTAATAGAAGTAGAATAACTTCTACTTCTTGGTGCATTTGGAACATTTCCCATTTTTATACATGGATCTGTGATAGAAGGCCAATGGAAGAAATGATCTGGAATTTTCTATATCAATGATGGCTAACCATTTCCAGACCGAGTCCCCAAAGAGCACATGCAAGCATGTAAATGCATGTATGCATGCCTGAAACCCCAAATGCAATGCGTGTGTGGGCCCCCATCACCCGCATGTGCCCGGCCTGCGCATGGGGCCCATCCCCCAGCTGGCTGGTGGGAGGCATGTGCGCATGCACAGCAGAGCTGAACTTGGGTGGCAACTCACATGCCATCAGAGAGGGTGCTGTGTTCCACCTCTGGCACGCGTGCCATAGGTTCGCCATCACGGCTCTATGTTCAAGTTTTTAATCTTATGTACATTTTATGGAAGCAAAGTGAATTCCTCATTCCTAGATTGTTCAATTTATCAAGAGAGTGTGATCTATCAGATTTCTCTTTCTCAATTTTGTTATAGAGTTCTCATCTGAAAATATTTCAGATGAGAATAAAGTTAGGCAAATAAGATCTAAAATGCATGTGGTAGAGAACATATTTCTCTACCCATTTTAAATGCAGTAGAGTGATGAAAATGCAAATTTCTATTGACCTTAAATTAATTTGAAAGGAATAAAAACTGAGATTTGCTAATCCCTTCAAAGAATTCTTCTCTCTCTCTCTCTCTCTCTCTCTCTCTCTCTCTCTCTCTCTCTCTTTCTTTCTCTCCCTCCTTCCCCCCACCCTCTGATTTTATACACACATATAGGGACCGATACAGTTTATTTCTATGTAAGGTAAAGGTTCCCCTCGCACATATGTGCTAGTTGTTCCCAACTCTAGGGGGTGGTGCTCATCTCTGTTTCAAAGCTGAAGAGCCAGCACTGTCCAAAGATGTCTCTGTGGTTATGTGGCCTGCATGACGAAATGGCAAAGGCGCACAGAACACAGTTAGGTGGTCCCTATTTTTCTACTTGCATTTTTTACATGCTTTCAAACTGCTAGGTTGGCAGAAGCTGGGACAAGTAACGGGAGCTCACCCCATTATGCAGCACTAGGGATTTGAACCGCTGAACTGCCGAACTTTCGATCGACAAGCTCAGCATCTTAGCCTCTGAGCCACATTGTCCCTTTATTTTTATGTAGATACACATAAATATAAATGTACTCTACATACATAGATCTTTTCCAGACTTTGCTGTTTCAATGGAAGAAAGTATTTGTAGCTAAGAGTTGAATTGTCGAAACCTTAGTGCTCTCTGAGCTTGGTCATTTTTCTGCAGACGTTTTATTACATTAGTAAGTAACACCATCAGTGCTGGAACGGAGTGGGGTTTGCTCTCATTCTATATAATAGTGGCTTGCCCTATCAGTGTTACTGGGAATGATATTGGTGGTTCCTTGATTAGGCTGTTGTTTACTGTTAGCTTGTTTGACTGCATACGTTTTTTTCTTTTCTGTTGTTTACTTGATTGTCGGTCTAGCATTAATATTGGTATTTATTGTTGGGACACAAGTATTTTGGATTTTTTTCTTTCCTTTTTGGCTTTTTGATTGCCTCTTTTGAATGGTAACAATAACAATAGCACAGACTTATATACCACTTCATAGTGCTTTTCAGAGTCAGCATATTGCCCCCGACAATCTGGGTCCTCATTTTACTGACCTCGAAAGGATGAAAGGCTGAGTCAACTTTGAGCTGGCCAGAACTCCTGGAATGAGTAGTGAATTAGCCTGCAGTACTGCATTCTAACCTGTATGCCATCACAACTCTGGTATGTAGATGTTGTGAACTCTATGTGTGTTTTGGGACTTGGCTGGATCTCTGATGCTCACAGTTTCCCAGCTTAAACTATGGTTAAGTTATTCCATGTGTTGTGAAATTAAGGCACTTTCATCATAGCTTCTGTTAGTTGGTATTCATGGATGTGTTTGGCTAGTCTTTTGACCCACATAGTGATAGTTACAGCCCTTATATTGTATGTTGCAGATGACTCCTATTTCATCTTCTGGGGCTACCTGATTGTTGGTTTACTTAGGGTGTTTTGGAGAGATTTCACTTGGTTTAACCCTATAGTGATGCTATGGTGATGCCATCAGCAGTGAAATCCTCTGAAGTCTGCTACTGGTTCTGTGAGTCTGCTACTGAGCGCACGCTGCACCCGCATGCATGCCTGAGGCACGCCTGCGCAGCACTAAAAAAGGAACATTTTGAAGCCTTCCAAGTCTGCGAGGGGGGAATCCGCTATGCCATGTGATTTAGATTAGTTAGAAAGCAGGAACTCCTACGATTCGAGCTAATATAAATTGTGCATCACAGCTGATCGTCACCTGGCTGATCGTCAGAAATACCAGTTCACAGTTAGTTTAATGCTTTGTATAAATATACAAAAGGACGAAGGCTATTGCTTAGCGCATTGTAAGCCGCCCTGAGTCTCCGGAGAAGGGCGGCATATAAATCAAAATTAAAAAAAAATAAAAAATGCTACGGTTTGTGCTTTGTTGTTTATTACTTAGTATAAGTTAATAAATTGTATTAATGATAAATTGCATTAGTTATGAAATTTACACGGACAAGCAGGTAATATTATGTAAAATTCAAGACTGCTGTAAGATTTCAATATAATTCCTAACCCTAATCTTAGTTATACTTACATATGTAACCTCATTTTGTTACTCTCAGTGTTCTTTTAGAAGTTTACCTATTACCAAAAGTGTTTCTCTCCTTTTTTTGAGTTATTTCTCAACATTCCTGTCTTTTCTTCTATTTTTGGACTATGTAATTTTTTAAAAAGTAGAAAAAAATGGCAAAAAGTAGTTCACATTTTATTTCTCACATTTCTCCTTCCTTCGTTCCCTTCATTTTCTCATTAGCTTCCTGTTTTCCTATGGTCACTTTTTCTATGACAGCCATCAGTGCCTCTTAGAACATCTGCATTACATTTGTCTATTTCACACAAAAAGCCCCCAATATGAAATGTAAAGGAACCATTATATAAAGACTACATTCCACATTTTATTCCTGCACACTTGTTTTCAAACAGTCCTATGAGATGGACAGCAATTTCTTAAGGAGACAATTGAGATTTCTATCACAATTTGGAGACTTTATAGCATTCTGATCTAAACAATCAGTTTTGTTTCTTTATCAGCTGTCCCTTTCTGTTCAGATCAGGCCTCAGAACAATAATGTAGCATTTGGGGGCAAAAATGCAGCCCAATAAACCAGCTGCAGAAGCCAAAATAGAGAAGATTTCCACAGCTGCCATGTACTTCCCCTTGGTGCTGAGATAGGTGGGAACAAATGATATCCACACACTGCAAAACACCAACATGCTGAAGGTGATAAATTTGGCTTCATTGAAACTATCAGGTAGCTTCCTAGCAAAGAAAGCCACTGTAAAACTGATAGCAGTCAAAAAACCCATAAAACCAAGGACACTATAAAACATGAAGGCTGAACCTTCATTACATTCTAGGACGATTTCTTCAGTCATTGAGTGCATATCCGAATGTGGGAATGGGGGAGAAATTGCCAGCCACACACCACTAATGGTGGCTTGCACTAGAGAGCAAGAAAGTACGATAACATTGGCCAGCCTTTTCCCCACCCATTTCCTCATTTTGGAGCCTGGCTTGGTGGCCATGAAAGCAAGAACCACTATGATTGTTTTGGCCAATATACAAGAAAGGGCTACAGAGAAGATAATGCCAAAAGTAGTTTGTCGCATGAGACACTTTACTTGGTCAGGTTCCCCAATGAAAAGCAAAGTGCAAAGGAAGGAGAGGAGGAGAGCAATGAGAAGAATGTAAGTGAGGTTTCTATTGTTGGCTTTGACAATGGGAGTGTCTCGGTGTTTAATGAAGATATGCAGCACCAAAGCTGAGATGAAAGAAAAGAAGAAAGCAGTAGTTGTCAGGCTAACTCCCAGAGTTTCTTCATAAGACAAAAATGTGATATGTTTTGGAATGCAAAGATTGTGAGCTTTGTTTGGATAGTGATCTTCTGAACATGGGAAGCAGTCATCTGCATCTGAAAAAGAAATTATTGCATTCATATTTATAAATTTTATTTGATCAAATGGAAGGAAAGATAGTTCCTAGTCTTGTAATCTCTTTGCTTTCATAGAAACCAAACATGAAAAGATGTGTTTTTATGGTCTGGTTGATCTTTCTTAGAGTAAAAGGATGATATGATTATAAAATAAATTGAATGGACTCCTAAGTAATCAACATCTATCCTGTATTATAGACAAAGTTTCAAAGTAATGAAAATGTTTATATATAAAAGGAAAACCTAAAAGGTTGCATAAAATACATAGCAATGAAATCTGTAAAAGTAAAATTTAATTTAATTTAATATTTAATTTAATATTTAAATTTATATACCGCCCTTCTCCCGAAGGATTCAGGGCGGTGAACAGCCATAGATAAAAAAACATAGAATACAAAATTTAAAAACAATTTAAAAATATATTAAGCAATTTGGCCCGACAGTTAAAATCCCCTATTTAAAATTAAAATTAAAATTACACCATTGGAGAGTTAGGCCAGCCCGGCTTGATGAAATAAAAGTTTTGAGGGCCTGACGGAAAGTACGTCGATCTGGAATTGTCCGTATCTCCGGGGGAAGCTCATTCCAGAGAGCAGGTGCTCCCACAGCTGCCCTGGGGGCTGCCAGTCAACATTGTTTGGCCGACAACACCTGGAGGAGCCCCTCTCTGTGGGAGCGTACTGGCCGGTGGGAGGCTCTCGGTTGCAGAAGGCGGTCTCATAAGTATCCAGGTCCTAAGCCATGGAGCGCTCTAAAGGTGGTCACCAACACCTTGAATTGCACCGGAACCAGTGCAGCTCATGCAGGAGAGGTGTTACATGGGAGCACCATGACGCTCCCATAATCACCCATGCAGCCACATTTTGGACCAGTTGGAGCCTCCGGGTGCTCTTCAAAGGGAGCCCCATGTAGTGAGTGTTACAGTAGTCCAGGCCAGAAGTGATGAGAGCATGAGTGACCGTGCGCAAGGAGTCCTGATCCAGAAACTGGCGAATTAGGCGAACCTGATAGAAAGGCCACGGCTGTCACATGTTCTTCTAAAGAAAGCCGTGCATCCAGGAGGACACCCAAATTGCGAGCCCTCTCCATGGGGGCCAGTGACTCGCCCCCAATAGTCAGAGATGGCACCAATTGACTATATTGGGACGCCGGAAACCACAGCCACGGTCTTGGATGGGTTGAGCTTGAGCCTGTTTCTCCCCATCCAGATCCGCACGGCCTCCAGACACTGGGACATCACATCAAGGGCATCATTGGGGTGGTCCAGGGTGGAGATGTACAGCTGAGTGTCATCAGCGTACTGATGGTACTTCACCCCCAAACCACGGATGATCTCACCCTGCGGCTTCACATAAATATTGAACAGAAGGGGCGAGAGGACCGACCCCTGCAGCACCCCACATACAAGGCACCTCGGGGTCGACCTCTGGCCCCCCCATCAACACAAACTGTGACCGGTCAGAGAGGAAGGAGGTGCCCCCCACCCCTAACCCCTCCAACCGGCGCAGCATGATACCATGGTCGATGGTGTCAAAAGCTGCTGAGAGATCTAATAGGACCAGGACAGAGGAGCAACCCCTGTCCCAAGCCCTCCAGAGATAATCAACCAATGCGACCAATGCCATTTCCATGCTATGCCTAGGTCTGAAGCCCAACTGGAATGGATCGAGATAGACTGCTTCATCCAGGTACTGGGGGAACTGTCACGCTACCATACTCTCAACAACCTTCACCATGAAGCGGAGGTTGGAGACTGGACGATAATTTGCTAAAACAGTCGGGTCCAAGGAGGGCTTCTTGAGGACGAGCCTCACCACTGCCTCTTTCAAGGCAGTGGGAAAGTAACCCTCTCTCAAAGAAGCGTTGACAATCCTTTGGAACCAGCCTCGTGTAACCTCCCGGGAAGCCAGCACCAACCAGGAGGAACACGGATCCAATAAATATGTGGCCACGCTAAGTCTACCCAGAATCCTGTCTACGTCTTCAGGGGTCACTGGGTCAAACTCCTCCCAGATAACACTCTCAAGACCTGTCTCCATCACCCTGCCTGCATCTACCCACTCAGAGTCCAAGCCTTCCCGAATTTGAGCAACTTTGTCATGCAGATACTGCACAAAATCCTCAGCCCTGCCCTCATGATGGCATGAGATTTGAATAGATTGAATAATGAACATCTCTCCTGAATTATGGACAGGCTTTTAAAGAGATGGCAAGCTAGCTGTTTACAATTAAAAAGCTAATTAAAAAAATAGACCTAAGACATGGCACAAAATACATAGCAATGAAATCTGTGCTTTTTAGATCTCTTACCTGTCTTGTTTGAAATTTTTCCTTCTGGACATAGAAGACAATCATAGCAGCAAAAGGGCTTTCCTTCTATTTTTATTTTGCTGCAACCTGATGAGCATGGAGGATTGCACATAGAAAATGGCTGTGCCTATTAAGACATTAAGAAGGAAAACTGAGAAATGATTATTTAACATTCAGAAATTTTTGCAGAAGAATTGGGAATTCACTAGTATTTTGGGCACATAAAATATTTGCATTCATGTATAGTATGAGTATCCCCCCCACCCAGGTAGACATACAGCTTGTTTAAATTGCTCTGACAATCAATTACAGTATTCATTTAACATCTTTTGCAATTAAAATTACACTAAAAGAGGCATTCCTTTGAAATATTGGACAATTTTGGATACTGTTTCCAATATTTTTGAGTTTGAGCAGGCGTTCATAAAACTCTAGATTAAGAGGCATATTCACACAAGCCAGAAACAGTCCATACTGTGGGAAGCATACAGCCATAAGTAACCATGTGACAAGAACATAGTAAGAGTAGCCCTATTGTATGGCTTTTTTGTTATTTTAAAGAATGATAAAATTCTCCCGTTTGTAGAAGCTATTAGCCAGTAGGTTAAGTACATTCATTTCAATATATATATTTTTTTATAAGCAATAATATGCCTATACATTTTAATATATCATATACCGTATTTTTCGGAGTATAAGATTCACCAGAGTATAAGATGCAGCTTAGTAGGAAAATGGGGGGGGGGGGAATCTACCTACCAGGTATTCATCTGACTAGTGTCCTTAGTCTGGTCAGCTTCAGCATATTAGTTAGTTGGTTTTGAGCGTGGGGGCTTTTTATCCCCTGCTTGGGGATAAAAAACAGCTTCTAAAGCACAGCTGATCTTTGGAGAGAGAAGCAATGAGAAAAGCAGGCAAAGCGTGAAGGTCACTTCACTTCTAGCGCCTCGTTAGGGCTGAAAAAAAAGCTTCAAAAAAGCTACATTCGGAGTATAAGACACACCTAAATTTTTAGCCTCTTTTAGGGGGAAAGTGCATCTTATACTCCAAAAAATACGGCAATAATTCTTTTTTTAGCAATTTCTGAAACTGTTTCAACACTTTGGTTTAAAAGTTCAACAAAATGAATGGGAATTGAGAAAAATTGAATTCTGTAACCATGGAATGAAAATTATTTTATTCCCCCAAAAACATAGTTCAAGTCAGTTTCTAAATGGAGGTTTTAATTTCATGGTGATAGTATTCATGAGTCACTTTGTGTTGTGGTCCACCAGCAGCCTGCAGAGCTGGCAACGGAGTCGGACAGTGATGAAGCTGAGGAAGAACATGGGCCAGTCCTGGAGGCTGGGGAAGGCCCAGATGAGGGCTCTGCATCGGAGGCAGCGAGGGGGCCAGGGCCATCGGGGAGTGATGTGCAGACTTCAGAGCCTCCAGAGGCTGACAGTAGAGAGGCAAAGGAACAGGAGGAGCCTGTTCCTAGTGCATGTATGAGAAGAGCTGCCAGAAGGCAGGAGCAGATAAAGCAGAGAGGACGACTCAGGAGTAGGGCCAAGAGATAATTGTCTCCTCCCATAAGGCTTAAAAGACCAGTAACGGCTCTTGGCCTCTTTGCCGGAAAACAACGTTGAGAGAATTGGTTCTTGTTTCACTGTATTCATTTCTTATCGACGTCTTCTGCTTCTGAACTTTTGCCAAGAAAAACCTTTGGCAGTTTGCCTAATTATCCCAAGGTCGGTGATAAACTGAGGAATGGTGTTTTGAAGAATTTGCTTTAATTTAGTTTGGACTATGCTGAAAATGAGTTAATTCTCAGCTGTTCTAATAAAGTCTGTTTGTTTTCGAACTGTTTGTATTTAATACTAACTACTTGGGCCTGAGTCACAACACTTTGTTCCTGAGTCATTTTGAGAGAACAGTCAATTCCTCTGTATTATAACATTTTATGTTACATAAAACCTAATCAAAATGAACAATCAGAAAGAAAAATAAAGAAAAGAGAAACAGATGATTCACTAATTAAAAAACAAAACAAAATTATAGTATATGCAAATGATGACTTCTAAGAAAATAAAAACCACTTAAATTCAATCCTTACTTTAACACTATATTATAATATTCATTATATTATAAATGTCCATTATTCCTTCTCCCTCCCCAAATTAAGAAGTTTGAACAATCATTGAATCCATATAAACATAATTTGATTTTTTCCCCATTACCTGCAAAACATCTTCCAATTGTAGATTAAATTTTCAGTGTCATTTTTCTTACAAAAGCTGTTAATTTACCCATAGCTGCCAGTTCTGTCACCTTTATTAATTATTATACTATTGTAGATATTGCAGGTTCCTTCCAGAGCTGACCCACTTTTTTCATATATAAAAGTAAAGTGCCATGTGATTTTTCTTCCAACTCTTTGTCCATAAACCCTAATGCTACAAATATCAGGTCTAAGCTGTATACTAACTTTCAAAAATTTTAATTGAATTATAAATTTTAATCCAATATTACTTTTTCGTAAACCCACCTAAAAAGTTCTTAGCCATTTTACCCTTCCAGCAAATATTTGGAGATACTTTTTAAATGTAATCCATTATATCTGGAGATAAATACCATCTCTAACATTATTTCGAATACTTCACTTTTTGCATTAAGTCATTTTTTTCTAGCTCACTCCAATTTGATTATAGTCCCCCAGCAAATGGAAATTACTCAGTAAATAGGTAAAGGTAAAGGTTTCCCTCACACATATGTGCTAGTCATTCCTGACTCTAGGGGGTGCTGCTCATCTCCGTTTCAAAGCCGAAGGGCCAGCATTGTCCGAAGACGTCTCCGTGGTCATGTGGCCTGCATGACTAAATGCCAAAGGTGCACGGAATGCTGTTACCTTCCCACCAAAGGTGGTCCCTATTTTTCTACTTGCATTTTTATGTCCTTTTGAACTGCTAGGTTGGCAGAAGTTGGGACAAGTAACAGGAGCTCACCCCATTACGCGGCACTAGGGATTCAAACCACTGAACTGCCGACCTTTCGATCGACAACCTCAGCATCTTAGCCACTGAGCCACCGTGTCCCTACTCAATAAATACATATCCTCAAAAACAAAGATGTTTCTCTTTGGGTGCAAATATTTGCAGTTCAGAAGTGATTAGAAATGTGGGTCAGCACGTCTGTTGTTTATAAAAGCCATGAACTGATTGAAATTCTTCATCCCACAGCTGCTGAAGTGATTTGAAAAGTTATACAATTTTTGCTCCATTATTTGTTTGCAAGGAGCAAACATTTACAGATCACATAGATGTGTTCTTGTTTTCTCCTTGATCCAGAGAAATTTGAAGTGCCTCACCAACATTCCCCATGAGCGCTGAGGCTGAGGAGCATCAAACTGAAGGCCCTTGTGTTGCCGTGCCAACACAGGAAGTGTGTGCCTGTAATTTATTTATTTATTTATTTATTTATTTATTTATTTATTTATTTATTTATTTATTTATTTATTTATTGAATTTATATTGCCGCCTATTCACCCATGGCGACTCAAGGCAGCTTACAGAATAAAAGACCACACTTAAAACAAGAAAAGCTAACAAAGAGAATCAAATAAATTAATATAGTACAGTATAACAAAATCACCCCCCACTTCCTACCCACCCCCACCCCAGTGACAGCAGATCACATGAGCCATTTAATGGGCTCCATCCCGCTCTGGGTTCCCCAGGCCTGCTGATAGAACCAGGTTTTCAGCACCTTCCAGAAGAATATTAGAGTGGGGTCAATTCTAATTTCTGGGGGAAATGATGTTCCAGAGAGAGGGAGCCACCACAAAGAAGGCCCTTCTTCTGGGTCCCACCAGAATTGTTGAAGAAACTGTCTGAATCTTAAACCAGTAAATGAAAATAAAAGAAATAATAGAAATTATTCCATGTGGTTTGATATTGGTACCTGGTTAAACATAGTGGGCCAGATTATATCTTCTGCAGAAATAGTAAGAACATTTTCAGGGGGAGCCACTGGAGCTATATTTCCAATTTTGATTCGATGAAATGATTGGTTGGGGAAGGTGACCCAGTTGATAACATCAAATCCAGTTGCTAGCTCTCCTCTTTCATCAAAGGAAACCATTTCTCCAGCACTGTTGTTAAATGAAACCGTTCTCAGATACCAATGGAACTGAATGGAAATAATTGAGAGAAAGTTTTAACAATTGGAAATAAGGAGCAAGAATAAAGGAAGGAACTTTCATAAGCTATATGCGATCCTTTTGAAGCACACCAATCAGCAAACATAGTACAAAAATCTATTTTTATTGTTGTAGGGTATGACAACAGAAACCTGAAAGACTAGTAAACTTTCCCTCTAGCAGAAGTGTTTAACACCACCGACAAAGCAACTACCCTTCAAAAAGACCTTGACTATGTGTCAGATTGGTCTAACAAGTGGCAACTTCAAATTTCAACCAACAAATGCTCTGTCTTGCACATTGGCAAAAATAATCAAAACATAAAATACAAATTAGATGGACATGACCTTGTAGATGACCCTCACTCTGTCAAGGACCTTGGAGTACTCATTTCTAAAGATCTAAGTGCCTGAGTCCACTGTAACAACATTGCCAAAAAGGCATTAAGAGTTGTTAACCTAATCTTGCATAGCTTCTTCTCTGCTAATGTTGTACTACTAACTAGAGCATACAAAACATTTGCTACACCAATTCTTTAATACAGCTTATCTGTCTGGAACCCGCACTGCATATCGGACATAAATACAATCGAGAGAGTCCAGAGATATTTTACAAGAAGAGTCCTCCATTCCTCTAACCGCAATAAAATACCTTATGCCACCAGACTCCACATTTTGGGCTTAGACAATTTAGAACTATGCCAACTTCAGTCTGACCTAAGCATAGTACATAAAATTATTTGCCACAATGTCCTTCCTGTCAATGACTACTTCAGCTTCAACCACAACAATACACGAGCAAATAATAGGTACAAACTCAAGGTAAAACGTTCCAAATTCAATTGCAGAAAATATGACTTCAGTAACAGAATGGTCAATGCCTGGAATACACTACCTGACTCTGTAGTTTCTTCCCCAAACCCCCAAAACTTTAACCTTAAACTGTCTACTGTTGACCTCACCTCATTCCTAAGAGATCTGTATGGGGCGTGCATAAGAGCACCAGCGTGCTGTCCTAATATTCCTTTTTTACTTACTCTTTTCATGTATTCAAATTATGTTTATACTTTTACCTGTTATCTTATATATGCTTGACAAATAAACCTATGACTTTAAAAAATCCCATTTTTCCAGGAATGAATCATCATTTCATTTCCATTAACACTCCATCTTATTTTTGCATCTTGTCTCAATGGCATCCCTGCACTGCTTGACATTATTTTTAGAATTTCTTTACATTCTCATCATGCAGGAACAAATATTATCATCTATACCAGCTGAAGCAAAAGTGTTAATATAACCATTTGTGAAATTTTGGGTTCTAGTCTATTGTACTGGAATTGCTGTACTAAAAATGCTGTGGATGTCTGCATGGACTAAGAAGAAGGAAGAACAAACAACATTCTTCCTTCTTCTTGCAATCTGCCTATTAATCAGTACTTAATGCTATTCTTATATACTCCATATATATACTTATATACTCCATTGGAACCTGGAATGTAAGATCAATGAATCAAGTGAAGCTGGATGTTGTCAAACAAGAGATGACAAGACTGAAGAGTCTAATGCTGGGAATTATTGAGGGTAAAAGAAGAAGGGGACAACAGAGGATGAGGTGGCTGGATGGAGTCACTGAAGCAGTTGGCATGAGTTTAAATGGACTCTGAAGATGGTAGAGGACAGGAAGGCCTGGAGGAACATTGTCCATGGGGTTGCGATGGGTCGGACATGACTTTGCAACTAACAACAGCAGCAGCAGCAGCAGCAACAATAACAATGCTATCCTTTCTTTCTTTTTTTATGCATCTCATACTCTTCTCCTCACTGTAGAATCAAAATAAAGAACCCAAAGCAAATAATCAAGGAACAGTGCAGGATTTATTGTTAACAGTGTACGATGGAGAAATTCCATCCAGAAACTACTGGAGGGAACTCCCGCAGAGAACTGATATTTTTAGATTTCAAAAAGGCAAAATGATGCATGCATAACTATTCATAAATAATTACATAATAGATCTCAAATTAAGGCCATCCCTTCTGATATTTAAAGAGAACCATGGTCATAGATAGAAGAAATATTTGCATCATAAGATTCAGAGGTTCCTAGGGGAATGTTTTGATAGAAAGATCACAAACTACTGTAGGATTCCTTATATCCTATTAAACAGTCCCATTCACTTGGAAACTGATTTACCCCACACTCCTTCTAAAACTTCTCTTGAATTAACATTTGACATTGCCTCCTTCTCATTGTGCATTGTTGCACCCCATGTTTAGTGTTATCTGGAATTATTATTTGAAGTTCTGACATATCGCTTATGAGTTAGTTCAGCTTCAGAATGCTCTTATTAGCTATACAACTCCAAAACACTAGCTGACCATTTATATGGTCGGGGCTCAGGACAGGGGTTGCTCCTCTGTCCTGGTCCTATTAGATCTCTCAGCGGCTTTTGATACCATCGACCATGGTATCATGCTGCAACGGTTGAGGGGGTTAGGAATAGGGGGCACCGTCCTGCGGTGGTTCTCCTCCTTCCTCTCCGACCGTTCGCAGTTTGTGTTGGCAGGGAGGCAGAGGTCGACCTCGAGGCACCTTGCATGGGGAGTACCGCAAGGGTCGGTCCTCTCGCCCCTTCTGTTCAACATTTATGTGAGATCATCTGTGGTTTTGGGGTGAGAGTCCATCAGTACGCTGATGACACTCAGCTGTACATCTCCACCCCAGACCACCCCAACAATGCCCTTGATGTGATGTCTCGCTGCCTGGAGGCCGTGCAGGTCTGGATGGGGAGAAATAGGCTTAGACTCAACCCTTCCAAGACCAAATGGCTGTGGCTTCCGGCGTCCCAATATAGTCAGCTGGTGCCATCGCTGACTATTGGAGGCGAATCCCTGCCTCCCACAGAGAGGACTCGCAATCTGGGTATCCTCCTGGATGCACGGCTGTCTTTAGAAGAGCATATGATGGCTGTGGCCAGGGGGGCTTTTTATCAGGTTTGCCTGATTCGCCAGTTGTAGCCCTTTCTGGACCAAGATGCCTTGCGCACGGTCACTCACGCCCTTGTCACCTCCCGGCTGGATTATTGTAATGCTCTCTACATGGGGCTCCCCTTGAATAGCACTCTAAGGCTTCAGCTGGTCCAGAATGCGACTGCATAGGTAGTTATGGGCGCAACCCGTGGTGCCCACGTGACACCCCTCCTGCGCGAGCTGCACTGGCTCCCAGTGGTCTTCCGGGTGTGATTCAAGGTGTTGGTTACCACCTTTAAAGTGCTCCATGGCATAGGACCCGGGTACCTTCGAGACCGACTTCTGCCACCAATAGCCTCCCACTGGCCAGTTCGCTCCCACAGAGAGGGTCTCCTCAGGGTGCCATGAGCCAAGTTATGTCGTCTGGTGACCCCCACAAGTTAGGGGGAGGGCCTTCTCTGTGGGAGCCCCTGCCCTATGGAATGAACTGCCCCCGGAAATGCGTAAGATCTCTGACCTCCGTGTATTTTGCTGTGCCCTCAAGACCCTGCTGTTCCACCAGGCCGGGTTATCAATGTAATGATTTTTAAATTGGGTGTTTTAAATTTTTTGGGTTTTAAATCTGAGCCAAAATTATTTAATAATTGTAATTATTTTTAACTGATGTCTGTCTCTGTGCTTTTAATAGATTGTACACCACCCTGAGTCCTTCGGGAGAAGGGCGGTATAGAAATAAAATTATTTATTTATTTATTTATTTATTTATTTATTTATTTATTTATTTATTTATTTATTTATTTATATGACTGGCCTACATCCTACAACATCTTGAATCTCCAAAAACCTATGCAAGGGGATAGGGGAATGTTTTGATAGAACTATCACAAACCACTGTGGGCTACAAGGAAACATTCCTTATGTCTCAGTTTGTCTTTTAAGGGCACTGAACACCAGAACAACTAGACACAAGGACAGTTTTTCTCTGAATGCCATCACTCTGCTTAACAACTAATTCCCACAACACTGTGAAATAATTTACTAAGACTGTATTACTATTATTCTTCTCTTCCTTACTAGTATCTATCTCTTCCCACTTATTACTATAACCATGTTGCTTGTATCTTTCAATATATATTGTTTTAATTTGTTTCCTAGTACAATTTGATAATAACCTTGACTATCACTAAGTGCTGTATCTTTATTTATTTATTTATTTATTTATTTATTTATTTATTTATTTATTTGTTCAACTTGTATGCCGCCTTTCTCCGAAGACTCAAGGTGGCTTACAATGCATTTAAAAACCATATATAAAAACATTAAAAATTAAAACATTAAAAACAATTAAAACCCATTCACACCATTCATGGCCGGATCTCACCAGATTGCAACAGTGAGATCAACGGCCCCAGGCCTGCCAGAAAAGCCAGGTCTTCACTGCTTTTCGGAAGGCCAATAAGGTGGGGATGGTCCGGATCTCAGGAGGTAACTGGTTCCAGAGAGCTGGGGCAGCCACAGAGAAGGCCCTCCCCTGTGGGCCCGCCAGCCGGCATTGTTTAGCTGACGAGACCCGGAGGAGACCAACTCTGTGGGATCTTACCAGTCACTGGGAGCTATGCGGTAGAAGGTGTCTCGAAGATAACCTGGCCCTGAGCAGGTTATCATTTTTATTCTTGATGAATGTATTTTATTCTCCTTATGTACACTGAGAGCATATACACCTACAAATTCCTTGTGTGTCCAACCACATTTTGCCAATAAAGAATTCTATTCTATTCTTAAAAAAATAAAAAATAGTCCCATTCATTGGGAAATGATTTATCCCATACTGCTCTTGTCTTCCTTCTAAAACTAAGGCAAAAGCTACTCCCCTTTGAATTTCTGACATATCACTTTGATCTTATTAGCTATACAACTCTACAATACTAACTGAACACAGTTATACAATAGTCATTTATATAAAGGGATATTTATATACATTTCATTTTTTACCTGCCATGATTGTTGATTGAAAGTCCTGAGTTCCCAAGCATTTCCTCTTTTTCTGCGTTTAGGTGAAAGCATGGCATGCAGAGCATGGGCCACTGTATAGACAGCATTGTAAATGCTGTAACTTTGCCCACTTATACTAGTTTCAAATAGACATTTGGGAAGGCTCTCCAGTGACTCCTCACCAGTGCATTGATTGTCACTGTCCTCATCTAACCCAGCATTTGGGAAAGAACATTCAAATGCATGTTCCCAAAACACTCTTGTCAAACTATCCTCTTCTTCAGAAGAAGACTTTCTCACCTGAATAAATTTCTTAAACCCTAATATTTCCTTTGAGGAAACTACCAACGATAATGCACCATGGATGAAATCCAGGCTCCTGTATCTTTGAAAGGGGATTGATGTGAATTCCATCTGTGCTGGCATGACCCAAACTTTATCTTTTCTCTTCATTGGCATGTCCACATATTCTGAAATGTATGGCAACATTCTCAAGACAGTCATGTCCTCGTTCTCACAATATATGATCACAACATTGGCAGTACTTCTCATAATAACCTCGTATATCATAAAATAGCCAGTAAGATGAACCTCAATGTCATTGGTAACGGGTTCCTTTGGTATTTCTTTTATGAAGTCAAAACAGATGCCTTTCGTAGAAAACATATCAAGCCTATTCTGTATAAAACTCTTTCCTCTTTCAGGATTTTGTATAATGAGGCCAATCCATTTCCACTGAAAGTGAAGCAACAACTGGATGATCCCCATAATTTGAAGATCTTCATTGGGAAATAATTGATGGAAAAAAGCAGGTTGCATATTGTCATCCATCTCTGTAGCTGAACCATATATGAGCTAAGAAAAATGAAGAAACTGGAGGATAAATTTCCAATTCAAAGTATTTATATCAGCATGTGCAAATTCTGCTGTTCTTTCAAAAAACTATATTAAGGAAGTGTATTGATACAAATATTAATATAGTTTTTTGAAAGAACAGCAGAATTTGCACATGCTGATATAATTTTTATGTAAATGGATTCTTTTTCTTTTAACACAGTATCATTTTAAAGCTTCAGAAACGTATGAATTTAAGGATGCAAATGTACCATTGCATTATGCATAATGTACCGTTGTATTTAAGCATAATACTTAAAACTTGTGATCCAATCTGGGTCAGTCACTGGGACCAGAGGTTTAATCTTACTTTAATCTTCCTTTATTTTGAAGATTTCTGAGAGTAACCACATTCATAATCTAGATAAAATTTTGGAATAGAAATTAAACAAAATCAAACACATTGTCATCCTTATATTTCACATACTGTATACTAGTTGGATATGTAAACTAGAAGCTAACATTATATTCGGCCAACTAAAAGTCTGAACCTGTTTTACATTTTTGTGAATAAATATATTCCTTCACGAAATTAACTTTTAAGTAGAATGAGAAATTCAAGAGCCTTGGTAGTACAGGGGTTTAAGGCACCCTGTTATTAAGCTGGTTATTAAGACCAGCTGCCTGCAATTACTGCAGGGTTCGAATCTCGCCAAGGCTCAAGGTTGACTCAGCCTTCCATCCTTTCTAAGGTAGGTAAATTGAGGACCCAGTTGTGGGGGCAATAAGCTGACTTTGTATAAATATACAAAAGGATGAAGGCTATTGCTGAGCACATTGTAAGCCGCCCTGAGTCTTCAGAGAAGGGCAGCATATAAATCAAATTTTAAAAAAATGGCCTATGCTGCACTATAAAATGATATGCTCCATTTTATATCCATGTGTTCTCACATAAAAAAGGAATATCTGTACATTATATTTGGGCTAGATCTACATTTCATTACACTTAGATGGAGCAAATTCCCAGATGAATTTATTACATCATTTTTATTTCTATTTCATATGCACAAGCCACAAATGTTCGTATAAATGGATTATTGGAAGGACCTGATTTTTTTTTCTTTCTGGGATGGCTCTTACCTGTGGGATCTTGTAAATGCTCAGAATATTTGACATGAACTGACCAATGTAACCATTATGTCCTGCAATCACAGATATTACATTGTCCTTGAAATCACACTTGTAGTTTGGGATGAACCTTCCCTTTGTAGAGAGAAGTTCCATGGAAGCCAGATAGATCCATCTTGCCAGGGCATAGCTATTGGAGATATGGATACCGAGGGTGATATTAGGCAAAATCCTGGAATTCTCATTGATTTCTTTGATTGCAAATTCCAAAGCCAAAATGTGCTGGTAGTTTTGCATATACAATCTGAAATGCGTATTAGAGCATCTGTTCAGAGTTGGAATTGGCTGCATCCTAATTTATGTTTTCTATTTTTACATTTTGCTAGTCTCCAGACAAAGGGCAAAGTTAAATAACAATAGATATAAATGTCTTACTGAAATACCTGGGCTGTAACACTCTACTTCCTTCTATCCATCTGAAATAGCCCTAAATACTGGGATACATTTAGAAGATTGAATTGGAAAATAGAATAATTATTAATAATTACAGAAGGTTTCTTTAATTTAGGGATCTAATGTTATTTCTATCTCCTACTCTAATATTCTACTCCACCATTTTCTGCTCCTCTTCCTCTTCCTTCTTTAATGAGATGCCAATGCTGACTTTTTTTTGTACATTGCCTAGTTATTACCACATGAAAAAGGAATGTACTGAAATTAAATTATTATCTGCCCAAATGATATCAAGGAGAGGGTTGTAAGCTATCTAAATAAAAACATATTGAAAAATAGTTTTTGTAATAGAAATCTGACAATAATTTAGTAATAATATAAATTGTTTCAACTCCTACCCTCAAAATGATGCTATTGAGCACTGCACATCAGAACAACTAGACCCAAGAATAGGTTTTTCCTGAATGCCATCACTCTGCTAAACAAATAATTCCCTCAACACTGTGAAACTATTCACTAAGTCTGCATTACTATTACTATTAAACTTCTCATCATTCCTATCACCCATCTCCTCCCACTTATGACTATATGACTGTAACTTGTTGCTATATCCTTACGATTTATATTGATTGCTTCCTAATATGATTTGATTGCTTATTTGTACCCTATGACTATTATTAAGTGTGGTACCTTATAATTCTTAACGAATGTATCTTTTCTTTTTATGTACACTCAGAGCATATGCACCAAAGACAAATTCCTTGTGTGTCCAATCACACTTGGCCAATAAAGAATTCTATCATCTATCTATCTATCTATCTATCTATCTATCTATCTATCTATCTATCTATCATCTATCTATCTATCTTAAGGAGAGAGAAAAATAATCAAGCAGCAAAGGCAACCCAAAATTTATCCCTCATTCTAATCCAATCATGCTACAAATTTTAACTATTTCTGTATTGCATTGCTTAAAACTAAGAATTACATACATGAAATCATCCACTAGTTCCTTTGATGGATTTCTTGTGAATGTTACTTTTTCCGACATCATGTAAATTAGACAGGAAATGCCTGCCATGACCAAATCTTCTGAATGATATTGCTTGTGCTTAATAAGAGGCTGGTTTCCTACAGAACATCTATGAAGAGGTGTATCAGATTCTACATACAAGGACAATATTATACAGATGCAAAGAATAATATCTTGCAGACCAATCCATCTCTCAGCCATCTGTTTATTCCATTAGTCATTTGAAGTAGGACGATCTAATTACATTATTCCATGAGGCTACTTAAAAGTTGGAGGTGTAAGTGTTTTAAAAGTCAGTATCAAAGGTCTTTGTTCTCCAGCTGTACCCTTGGAGGGGGGGCAGAATATTATGTTTTTTATTGCTATTGAAATACATTACTTTTAATATTTTCTGTAACTGCAAGGTTGAAAATAATAATGCATAATTGATAATAATTGTACATGCTCAGGTGCATAAACTAATTTGTGACATGCAGGGAATTGTACTGTATGGAATTAAGGACAAAATAACAGTGGCAGGAGGAAGAAAGAACTAAATGATATAAATAAAAAGTTTTCTTCTTCACTATCTGTTTTTTTTCCAAGTGAGAAAACAGTTGAATTCAAATGGAAATTTCAATTATGATTACAACAACAATTTATTATTACAGTCTTAGACCAGTGACCAGAACAAATACAAGCACTCAGTATATATACACTTTTTTAAAAAATTTGATTTATATGCCGCCCTTCTCCGGACACTTAGGGCGGCTTACAATGCGTTAAGCAATAGCCTTCATACTTTTGTATATTTATACAAAGTCAATTTATTGCCCCCACAAACTGGGTCCTCATTTAACCTACCTTAGAAAGGATGGAAGGCTGAATCAACCTTGAGCCTGGTGAGATTCAAACTTACAGTAATTGCAGACAGCTGGTGTTAATCACAATGCTTAAAAATTCTAATATAAAATAATAAATAACAACTAAAACTTATAATAAAATCCAGTGTCAATTCCAAGTGAGAAAACAGTTGAATTCAACTAGAAATTTCAATCATGATTAATTAAACAACAAATAAAATTAAATTGTTTTAAATGAAATTTAGATCTCACTGTTAAGGAGTATCTTTCCCTTCAGATATTTTACAATAAAATAATCAATGTAGGGGTACTGTATGCATTTCGTTTGATATGCCTATCAAGTCAATGTGCTTATTTGGGGCACACCCAAAAGCATTTTTCCAAGAGGAAGCTGGATTTTCTTGTTTCTGTCCTTGAAATTATTTCAGTTGTCATCCAAGAAGCTTCTTCAGTTCAGGGGTCTTGGTGGTTCCTTGATTAGGCTGTTACCTTGTTTGTCTGCATTAGTAATTCCTTGATTGGTGTATTGTTTACCTGATTGTTGGATAGTGTTAATCTTGGTGTTAATCTCTGCTCATCTGGATATTGATTGGTGGTGAGGAAGTGTTTTGGTCTTTTTGTTTCCAATTTGGCTTTTTGATTATCTCTTTTGAATGGTATGTCTCTGGTGCTGAGAGTTTCTCAGCTGTTACAAAATTAAGGAATTTTCATCATATGTTCTTACTGCTAGTTGGTGTTTATGGATGTTTGTTCTAAATAGTGGCTATTACCATCCTTACAGTGTATGTTGTAGATGACTCCTGTTTCTCCTTCTGGGACTACTGAATTGTTGCTTTACTTAGGGTGTTTTTGTAGACTTTAGTTGATTTAATGCTATGGTGATGCCATAGTTTAAAGCTATGGCTTAAACTATGCATCTCCATTTCAAAGCCGAAGAGCCAGCGCTGTCCAAATACATCTCCGTGGCCATTTGGCCAGCATGACTAAATGCCAAAGGTGCATGGAATGCTGTTACCTTCCCACCAAAGGTGGCCCCTATTTTTCTACTTGCATTTTTTATGTGCTTTTGAACTACTAGGTTGGCAGAAGCTGGGACAAGTAACGGGAGCTCATCCCATTATACGACACTAGGGATTTGAACTGCTGAACTGCTGATCTTTTGATCAACAAGCTCAGCATCTTAGTCACTGAGCCACCAAGTCCCTGGTGCTCAAATAAGTGGAAAAAATGATATCCAGATACTGCAAAAGTCCAACATACTGAAGGTGCAAGGAAAGCTATTGTGAAACTGATAGCAGTTAAGAAACCCATAAAACCAAGGCGAGTATAAAACATGATGCCTGAACCTTCATTATGTTCCAAAACAATTTCTTCAG